TTTACCTAGCTTTCAGCCTTGGTTAGTTGATATTCTTTTATCAAATTCATAAATTTGTACAATGAAATTTATAGTCAGATTTTGACATGGGTTGTAGCTAGATTTTATGTTAATAAAAACTTCAATGTTTTATTATTTTTTCTTAAAACTGTTCCAAATTTAAATTCCTTTTTCTTAGTAATATATTTCTCGGCAAAAAAATCAAAGGATTGCAAACTGGATGTTAAGAAATATATTTTTACCAGCTTTGGTTATGTGTTACATTAATTTAGAAAGTTATGTTTATAGATGTTATAATAATTTTATTTTATTTATATTTAGCAGCATTAGATCAATAATTCACAGAAGGTAAAAATATTTTCACATGTACTATTTTCTAGTTTCCAAGTTTTATAGAATTCTGAAAAAAATCTTTTTATCAGAAATCACCAGTGCAAATTTCTTTTTTTATACTTAGCACTTATTCAAAATGATTGTCTTATTAATGTGTTTTTCTTTTGTATTTTGTTATCCCTTCAAGGATCTAGCTGGTTGTGTGTGCAGTTGGGAGCAAAATATTTAATACCTGTACACTTCTGTTTTCTTCCTGGGCCTGAACTGGTATATACTTAATCTAAAGAAACTTGACATGAGTGTGAGGGCAGAGGCATTCATTTAGATGCCTTTAGCCTCTGGAGAGGTATTTTTCTACTCTCTCCAATCACTGAACACTAAGTGCTTATATGAATTTTAAATCATTTTGTTCTCAAGGCAGTTATTCAAAAAGTTCTCTTTCCTTACACTTTCCAAGGTTAGAATTTGAAACAAGTTAGGTATATACAACTATGAAACATACACCCCTTACTGATCTATCAGTGCCCTTCTTAAAGCTTAATTAACCAGAACATTGAGAGACTTCATAATTTTTCTTAGCAGTTCTAATAATTATGTAGAATTTATTTCAACCCAAATTTAAATCAGTATTTTCTGGATTATGGATTCCTTAAAACTACCACTAGGTCAGTATTATTACTTGAATATTTGATTTCCAAAAAGAGAACATTGGAGGCTCAGAAAGGACTTGCTGAGGTCAGGATTAATCAGTCTAGGACTTTTCCCTTTTAGCTTAATTTTCTTTCCTTTAGATTATAATCTCTCCTAATAACATTCTGTTTGCAGGCTATTCTTTGCCAAAAACTGTGTCCAATCTTACATTTGTACTTATGTTAGTGACATGGGAATGTTTGGCTTTTTTCATTGTTGCTTATTTCCATTAATTGACTACCTGAACACTTTTAGAATTAACATATACAAATAGGTACAAAAGACTGACTCCATCTTTGTTTCCCGTTTAGGTTGTGACTTTACTAGGCAAAATGGAACGTCTTCGAAGCTCTCCCCTTCATGCCAATATCTCTACTGCTCTTGATAGACACTTGGAGTCCATTCACATTGTACAGTCACGTAGAAAGGATGAAATTGTTAATGCTTCCAATAGGCAAAGGCAAGGTGTTCCTAGATGCCAAGATGACAGAGGTATAAATATTAATGCATATTATTTTGATAAGGCGGTGACATAGTTTGAATGTTAATAAAATCAGATTCTAAGGTTAAAAGTTTGGCGTTCTAAAATTTACACTTATCTAAAGAATAAATTGGTAAGTGATGCCCATATAACCTACTCCAAAAGTACCTTGATCTAACTAACAAAATATCAATTTAATTATAATAACTCTGTCAAAGTCTGTTCTACCCAAAGCATAGTCGTCATACAAGTCAGAAATTAAGTATCAACTTTTTAAATATTAAGTACTTTGGTTAGGTCAGTCAGTACCCATCCTTTTATAAAAATAATGTTTGATCATTTAGTAGCATACCATTGGGCTTTAAGAGTTAAGGGTTACTTAAATTAAGGCTGGCAGCAAGCTGCACTTTTTCAAAATAGGGAAAAGGGTTAAATGGTATCTAATGTGAACTGGCCTTGAATGTTTCTTTTACAGATGTTTTTGCCCTTGCTTCAGCAATTAAAGAGATGTGTGTGGCTACCCGGAAAGCACGCACTACCCTGTGGTGTGCACTGCAGATGACCTTGCCAAAAACAGCCAGTACAGCTGGCCAAACAGATGTGGAAAAGGCTTTACAAGATATAGTAAACTGTGAAGATAAAGTCCATGAAAGTATAAATAGTAGCAATCCAATGAACCAGAGAGGTGACGCAAACAAACATTAAGGAAATGCCAGCAGGAAGAAGAATAAAAAGCTGATAAGTAAATGTATCAAGACATGCTAAAAAATTTTAATGAACTCGTCAAACTTGAATATTTCAGTACATTAATTTTCTTTCAGATTTAAAGTTAAAACCTTAATGAAGTCTAACTTCTATTTAAAAATCTTATATTTGGAATGAATCAGATATAAAGTGAAGTCAGAAGTCAAGTTGACTACTGTAGGAGTTCCAAGTAGTCAAAGATAAGTTTAAGTAAATATTTCCTAACAGCTAAAATATTGCTTAAACCCATTCTGCAGTGCAGGTAAATGCAAATGTGAAATTCTTCTAGAAGATAAGTTTCATGTAGGTCTGCCTTAGTAAGTGTAATTCCAAATAATGAATCTAAATGACTGTAACCCAATTATGGCTACAGTCTAGTAACCAAGTTTTGATTGTGATATAAAAGTGTTTTCCTTGCAAAACTGGATAATACCTAGGAAACAAAGGAAAACAAAGATAACCCAATATTCATGTAAAATTTTAATATTTAAAATACTACCATATTTATAAATTTGAAATCTTAGCGCCTAAGTATATGGAGGGAAATGCATCTGATTCTCCTAAATTAGTGATAAAAGTGCCAGTGTAAAAACCATGCAAGTTACTGAATATAAAACCTGCTCAAATCATTTGTGTATATTCTTAAAATTTAATTATACTATCAATTATTAAATACAGTTTTAAAGTATTTAAATTAATCAAAACAAAACATTTCCTTTATCTGAATCTTTTAGACTTGATGCACAGTAACTAAAATAATGACTATTGTTTTAATACCCTTAGTTTGCTGCCTTTTATGAGGGTATCACGAAGTTCTAAAATGTATTTTTTAAGGTTAATCTTAAACTAGTTTAGTTTGCAATTGGTTAGTGTATATTTTGTGTAGTTGTGTTCATTAGTTTGCTTCTGTATTTTTTAAAAAGAGCTCTAGAAAGCTTGGCTTTTTCTGTTTCTCATCACTTAATATCTTTGTATGGAACCCGAGTAATTTATTCATTAATATGAAATGTTGGTATTATGTGACTCAGAAGATCTTGGGTTGTAACATTTCTAGCATGAGTTAAATTATAATATAATGTACTGATGAAATTTAATTGAACTATCCTTAACTAGAAACACTGATGTTTTAAATGTTGGTGTTTTACCTAGTTTTAGAAATCCTGGTATTTAAAAAAAAGAGTGTAATCACACCACATAAATTTTCTTTAGATGATGTGCGGAAGAAACTGATTGAGAATGCAGGAGTAACTGTAGGGAGAAACATTTTGATCACTGATATGCTTTAAAACTACCCAAATGAATTACATTGACGGTAGGTAGTCAAATAAAATAGATCACTCCACCACAGTCGCTGCATAGAAAGTGGTTAAGTTTGACATAAGACATGTTGGATGTTATGAAAACAAATATTGTACTAAATTTAGTCTCTCAGGAAAAAAATAAATTACTTTGTTGAAAATATTTGGTTTCAATTTTTTATGTTTGTATTAGTTTCTAACCTTAAGAGTCACTCATGTCAGAAAACCAGTTTCATTTAACTAATAAGCACTGGTGCTAAGTTTTCAATTTCATTACTATTACCACATAAGTAATAAACCAATGCCATTCAGATATCTTTAGATCTAACCTTACTTCCTTCAAAGATGAAATTTTTGCTCTGCCTTTATGCTAATCCAGGCAAACCAGGATAAAAATTCTGGGGAAGCTTTTACATGAGAGTGGTCAAAAATGAAACACTGGTCCATTAACAAACAAAAGTTCTTTGAAATTCTGTTAACTGCATCGCCCTGTAGATAATTCTCAAACTGTTGGTTGTCCCTTTCTATGTATGGTATACCCCTCTAATAGATAGTTCTTACGTACTGTATTTCTGAATTACATATGAAAACATTATAAAATTAACATCACACAAGACTTGTAGTCAAACTGATACTGATGTTCCCATCATTTCTAATCCAAAAGAATCTGATGGTTGAAATTACCTTGAATCATATCAATGTCTTTCCCACTTAAATAATCTGCTACTATAAAGTTTTAAAGGATTGGGAATTAATGTTACGACTGAAATCCCAAATTTGGCTGAAGTGTCACTCATATCATAGATGATACGGTTGTATAAAATTTGCCCTTTGCAATACTGAACATTTTAGATATAAAGGATTAATAAACTCTTGAGTTAAGTGAATAACCTTACTCAAAGCCTGAGCTGATGCTTTTTTTCTGTTTAAACATTAATTCAAGTGTACACTTAACTGTGGTAACATATATTAATAGAGTCTCAGAAGAAAGAATTGACTACTTTTAAAGCAGACTGAGACAAGTGCCTTTCAAGAGTCCATGGATATAATCTGACTCTGCTTCAGAGACCCAAATCAAGGTGAACACAAACCAAAAATTCAAAATAAGTGGTTACTAAATTAAGATAGGCTCTCTCATACACAATCTGGAGCCACAGTTTACTGCTACTGCTATGTAAGGGACTAAGACTCCAACAGTCCTTCAGAGGACTTCAAAGCCAATTTACTAACGTTCCAAAAAACAAGGTAATCTTTATGATCTAATACCTAACCTCACGGAAAGGAAAACTAAGGCAGAGAATTTATAGATTTCAGGAAAAGGTTCTACTAGTAGACAAGATTATTAGAGCTAATCAAAACAAAGCAGAAAGTAAAATTCAACACATTCCTAAGCAACTATCCACACAATTCATTTTCATGGGTAGCTGGAAAGAATCAGAATAAATCAGAAGACACTGATTTAAATAAAGTTTATTTTTTTAAAAAGGTGGTTAGTTTTTTTTTTAATTTTTGCAATGTCACGGTTATAGGAGTGTATAGAGGTAACATCTTTTCCTTAACCGTGCTTTTTACCTTCTGCATAAAGGTAAAATTTTGTGTTAATCTCATAGTTAATGAAATAAAACAGGTCAGCAAACTGTGAAGGGCCAGAAAGTATTTTAGGCTTTACAAGCCACATAAGGTCTCTGTCACATCCTTTCTTTAACAAACAACCCTTTAAAATCCACTGTTTGCACCATAAAAAACATACTGAGCCAGATTTATTTTGCAGGCAGTAATTTGCTGACCCCTGGTATAAAAATGTCTACTTTGTCTTGTCAGAAAAATTGCTCTCTTCAGGCTTCTTGACAGTCTGCTGTCTGAAGGAGAGAGAGGCCTTATTTAAAATTAAATCTGACGAATGTCAAAAGTAGAAATGGAGAGTTCCTCCTCACTTTTGACCCTCCCAAGCAATCTTCCCAGTCACTCAGTTAACCTGTTGAGCACCTACTATGCACACTATTAAATATGTTTTGTGTTAGCAGAGCTTTCCAGTGTTTCTTAAAAAGGGAGGTTCCTCCAGTTTCTCTAAACCCGTAATTATCAGGTCTTTCAACTCATTTGTTTGAGGGTAAATCAAGATTAAAATCTCTACTAGCAATTGAGGATTCATGATTACAAAAAATGAATCTAGCTAACAATAATATCCTTGCACACAATACTTACACACCCTTAAAATCACAACCTAGGTGAGGAAAAATAAAGATATTTCTTTTCCTCTCATAGGCTGAACTTTTTTAAAAAAAAACATTCTCAAATCTCGAACATCCATCAAATAATTTCTCATTTTCCTAGTCTGTTGCAATGCGACATAAAATCTGGACCCAGATAGGGCTCTTCATTAACTTTCTATTTCAGCCATAAAACAATACATTTAAGGGTGAATATTACTTCTGAAGCAATTTACATTCCCACATTTCATCTCAGGGAAGGAATGGCCATGATTCTCCTTCAAGATAAAAACTGTAACTGTCAGCTTTCTGAATATTCCAGGTGAGAAGACTTTTGAAAGTGGCCAAAAGGAGTGCAAGACTTCAGTACTAAAATATAAAGGCGGCCCCCATTCCAGATCTTTGGAACAGATATCTACTACAATAATTTGATTACCCACACCACAGAGACATGGCACATTATGTAATTAGAAGTGTTTGTGATTTTCCTTTTGACCATGTAAACAAAAGCGTAAATGCCTTGGGAAACCACTCTGCAATGTTCTCTCATTTTTCTTAAATATATATGTGCACAACCAGTTCTCCCTTGGATCAGTTCATGAAGAGAAAGAATAGAATGGACCAAGGTTATCGCTTCCGCTCCCCTCGTTGTGTCCTTTTCTTTTCTTTTTCCTTGCGCTCCTGCTTGGCTAGTTTGTCCTTCTCCCTCTGCAGCTTGTCCTGTTCCTTCTTCCTTTGGGACTCATCCCGAAGTGAGTCTCGCTCCAGTTTTCGGGCATTGAGGACATCTTCCACGTTGGTGTTTCGAAACAGAGCTACAGTGAGTTAAGGGATCTGAGTAGAGATCACACAGGTTTCAGCTACTGCTCTTTCCTCATGCTGTCCTCTCTCTACATACCGAGTCTTGCATACTCTCTACCTATTCCTAGTAAAAAAAAAAAAAAATCCTTATGTTTATTTTTGGCTAATGGAAAATCTTAAAACTACCATTACAAAAGTTTAAAATTAACCGTCAGGATAAAAATCTCATTCAGACTTATCTAAATCTAAATATTTAATGAAAATCAAATTTCATTCTAGAATAAGTACTTATACCATCCAATGGCGGAATATTGTTGGAGTACCTAAGCTAGTTTTAGTTAATAGAATATTAATATAAGTGGCAAATTTTTATGTAATTGGCACAGTTAAAATGCCTGAAAGTAAAATAAGTTGTTTAACATTATTGAACTCTATCAATTTTTTTTCCTAGACCACCAAAACTTAAGTGAAAACCATGTTCTAATAATCACAAACTGTGAATTTATAAAAGATATAAGTTTAGCCAGTTAGAAAATACCCAGCCAAAAACTTTACCCCTCATTTCTTGACTTTAAAAACATAACCAGTTACTATCAGACAAGCTCCTTTCTACTCTTAAAATATAACTTATTTTTGCTTCAGTGCTTTAAAAATAAACAAGTCTCCCTAAAATAACCACCCCCCTACCTCTGATAATCCACTCTACTCTCACTTTTATGAAGGTGGATTTCTAAATCCACTTTTTCTAGGGAGCTTCTCATAAGCGACTTTGTTTAGCATATATGTTTCGATCTGTCCATAGTTTTAGCTTAAAAATAGTTGGTGTTTGTGTTCTCTTTCCAACAAATTAAAAGGTTTTTGAGGACAAAGACCAAAACATCAATATTATTTTAATTGCTTACGCAGTGCTGGGAAACCCAGGACTATACACAGAGAGCACAGATTCTTATTTCCCCTTAGAAATCCTTCCTCTAAACTAAACCCTTCACATTACATGTTAACATGTTTTCTTTGGGGAAAGTTCTTGATAAATTGACCACTTAGGGCTGTCTTAGAAATCGGGCTTACAATACTGGCCTGACCTGAGTTCCTGGAGATAAAAGGAGCCCCCAGCAATGACAGCAAAATAAAAACATCCTCAAGAGGATTCTATGGAGAAACACATGGGGATGGACACAGAGAAGGATACATTTGTCAGAACCAGTGTTCACTGTGGTGGCACCTGAATCATCCTTCTCATCTGCTTCAGTAAGTGATGTTAAGGAAAGTCAGATGGAAAACAAAGGTTAGCACATCCCAACCCAACATCTGAAAACATTCAATAAACTGATAGGTAGGACAAGCACAATGAACGGAAAGGCAGTGTCAGGGGTGTGGTAATAAACCCAGGAGAGTCATTTTTAGAAATCTCAACTTGGGGAAGATTGTTCAGAGCTTCTGTGAGATCCTTACCTCTTGGAGGCTGAAAAGAAACTTCAGCTGGTTTAGGTGGGCTGCCACATTACCTGAAAACCAGGAGATGGTGAGATGACCTCTAAAACAGTGCTTCTCAAAACGTGGTTCCCAGAACTCCCTGTTAGAAATGCACATTCTTAGGCCTCGCTCAACCTACTAAATCAGAAACTCTGTGAGTTAGAGGCCAGCAATCTGTGTTTTAGCAAGTCTCCCAGAAAACCACTGCTTAAAACACTCTTTTCTAGCCCAAGAAATGAGATTTTGTAATTGGAACCATCACTCTGCCAACCCTGGCAAGAAAAATCATGAGGAAAAACCAGAAGAGAACTTGGCCCAAAAGAGCCTAAGAATTCTCTCCTAAACTAGTGATGAGAGAGCTGATACTTCTGCGACGATGTCCACTCCATTCGAGTGAGTTCGGTAAACTAAGCATTTCCTAAACAAACGTCAAAGTCACAGGAAACCAAACCTGTTCCTACCGGCGACACTTTTCTTTTTACACAGACCCAACTCAAATTCCAGATTTATGCTGGTGTTGCTCGGGAGTCCAGTCTCACTTATAGTTAATGGTCCATTACTAAGGCATTGTTTTACACTTAAATTTTTAAGAACGTTCTGATTATGTGTTGAAAAATATAAGTCCAGTATCAACTATTCCAACGTCATTTCTTATACCCATGAAGGGCCACAGATCGCTGCCACTCTAGAGGAGAACATTAAGCTACGGAGGGGGAATGGCAATCTTCCAAAGCTCACTACAAACCAGCAAACGCTTCTGGCTTGAGGCTCGGGATGGTGCCGAGACTCTGAAAAGGATATTCCTCTTCATCTGTCACATCAGCATACTGGGCCAGGAGGGCAGCTTTTCTCTGCTTCTCCTCTTCTGACACCATCCTGGGCTTCACCACAATCTGTGCCTGTTTCTCAATTAGGGTGGCAATGGCCTGTACCTCATCTGGGAGGTGGTGGAAGGGGAAGGAGGGACAATAAGGTTGTATTTGAGAAAAAACAAGCTCACCAAATCACTAGTCCAACCAAGCAGTGCTTGAAATAAAAGCAATGGCATCTGCTGACTCCTTAGAGCCCTGGGGTTCAAAGGAGGTGCCTCGAGAGCCAATGAGAAAGGCAAAGAAGGCCATGCAGGCCAGGCTTTAGGTCTTGTATGTCTTCAACCAGAGCAGCCCTGCTTTTACTTGTTTTACAAATTGAAGTTTTGATGCTTTAAAAAGAAAAAAAAAGGGGAGAAGGAGGGTCGAAAAGCACTGCATTAGAACTGTAGGAAACTAAGCCTCCAAACATTGAACTTTCTCTCCTCTCAACCCAGAAACCTAAGAAAGAATGTAGAATCAACATAAGCTGGTCCCTTCCATGTTGAAACCTTAGATTATTCTAAAGAAAATCAACTATTAAGTTCTCCATTCTCCAAGAAAGAAGGCAATGGTGTCAAATAGTGGTTCTTGTGCTTGGCTGCATATTAGAATCATCCGGGGGGTTGCTTTTAAAAAAATATCAATACCTGGGCCTTAACCCCAAAGATGTTTATATAATTGGCCTATGGTGTGGCCCAGACACTGGCATTTTTAAAAGTACATCAGTGATTCTAATGTATAGTCAAGACTGAGAACTACTGGTGTAAATAGTTTAGAATACATTCTACTAAAGTTTGGCTTTCATGATTTTGAGTTTTCTGCATCCTGATGGTATGTTCACTCCTCTTTCATTTTAAAGGGTGAAGGCTTCAGCTAAATAAAGCAAAAGACCAATCATAATTTGTATTATGAAATGAGAATATGAAAAAGGTAGGAGGTGGGAAAATATATTTGACTCCCACCCATATCTGTAATGCAAATCTACAAGGAGCAGTGGAAAGAGGATGAAAAAGAAAAAAGAAAAACCACAATGAAGATGATTGTGGTCAGCCAAAGTGGAAAAGTAGAGAAAGGGAAAAGGAAACCAATATTCAGTTAAGAAGTTAAAGTAGGCCGCTGGGTGTTTGCCAGTTTAAATTATCATAGAGAAAATGAATATCGACAGGGAAAACTAAAAACTCTCTCCCTGACCACTGTAAAGGTTGTTGGAAAAGGCAATGGAGGTTAGACATCAAAACTCCAACTCTACCTTCTTTTTTCACTTTGGTGACAACACTTTGAGTTTCTGACCATCGCTCCACAATCTCCTTGCAGATGTTAAGGAGGGAATCTTCTTCCTAGTTGAAAAAGGAGACCAATTAATTCTTAAGAGAGCCCTCAATCTGTACAAAGCCTATGCAGAAAGCACACCTCTCCCTGCTAGTGATGAGAAGAAATCAAGGGGAGGGTTTGGGAGCCACAGAAGAGTATGTTTCTCTTCTGAGGCTCTAAACACAGAAGTAATCCTGTGTGTGAGTCCTAGAATCTATACCTGTTAGGTCAAGAACACCCACTTCATTCTGCCAAGCTCCAGGGGAAAGGATTCCCACCAACTCAGGGAAGTCTTCCTCATTTTGGGGGGGCAAAAACCTGTTGCCTGTGTCAAAACCCTCGTCTGTGAAATCTTTCTTGGCCAATATGCTCAACTCGGTATTCTCCAAGGTTTATCACTTTCATGCCAAGAGACTATTATAATCTAAGGCAAAATCATGCCTGCCTGCCTTTATCAGTAGACATACAGCTCCAAATAATGACAGCATGAAAAAAACACGTCAAGGAGCTGGTACCAGTGGGTACCCAAGTTACCTCAACTTCTTCTTCATAGAGTTCTTAGAAATCTCCCAGCTGGAAATAAAAACTAACCTAAATTGCTTGCCTCCTGCTCTTTCCCCTACAACTGGCAATGTCAGGATTTAAGAAAATCATTTAATCCACTGTGTTGCATTTCCACTTAAGTTATGAGCTGCATCACAAGCTGTGTTAAAGCTTTCTCAAATATAGGTCAATCTCACCACAGCAGCCTCTGGGCCTAAAAGGGGTCCCCTGCCAGGAAGTCTTGGGACAGCTGCACTAGTGTTATATTTCAACCATGTGCCCAATCAAAAAACTACCCGTTCACCACGTGTTAGTGGAGATAGAAGGCAGCAGAAATGATCAGGAAAAGTGGACAATTTGGTGACACAGCTGAAAGAACACATTTTTGAATTCTTGAATCTGCCTTTAAGAAACAGTCCCAAGTTCATCTCTCTTCTTTAAAACTCTGGTCTCTCTTATTCCTACACCTACTTCCCCACCCCTGCCCCCATGCACACAACAATTACTGCACTTCTAAATACTATAAAGGATAATGTTGCTTCAGTTCTGCCTAGGCATGAAAACACCTCTACCGCAAGTTTACCTTTTTTGGACTTCTACCTCCAAAGTAGGAATCGAGAGGCTACTTCCCGCAGGCTTTTGTCATGGGACAGCCCTGAGTACTGCCTCTTAAAGGGCACAGACATCTCAGTGCACTTTATTCCCCCTTCTGAATAATGTCAAAGGATGGGAATGAAATTGGTCGTTAGACGTTTATGATAAAACTCTCGTTAGACACTTCAACGCCTTCGGAAGTATACTCACCCACAAGCATCAGGGAGGGCCTTGTTCTCAGCAATAAGGGAAAGCCATTCCTCCTGATGCACCTGCAACCTTCCGGCTTCCCAAAACCCTAGATGGGGGGCAACCCTCTTCTGCCGCGGCCCCACAGCTTAGAAGAGTATTCCTCTCCCAGAAGAGATGACTAATCCTCTGGGACATCGGATAAGGAGTTACAAAGTACTGACAGGGGCTGGCAAAAGGATAAAGGAGTGAGTTTGGGCTTCTTACCAGGAAAGCAGAGAGGATACCCTGCAGAGCATCCAGCTTCTCTTCTTCCTCCTCCTCCTGCAGAACTCCCAGGATGTATGCGCCGTAAACGGCTCGGTCCACTCCCAGCGCCTCCAACCGTTCGTCCAACCACGATCCAAAGCTGCTGCCCCCGCCATCGCCTTCGCCGGAGGAAGCCGCGTCCACTTCACTGGGCGCCGCCATCTTGGGGTCAGGGTCCTGCCGGCCCCTAAGGCGCCTACCGCAGTGCCTGACGGGCCGCACCGTTGGTCTACTGCGCATGCTCAGAGAGGGAATCCACGCCCGCCGCAGTGTGCGTAGACCGATAGTTACTCGCCGCGGCGTTTTGTGGTTTCTAAATAGAGCGAATCTTGGCTCGCGGACGGTCACGTGATCTTTCAGGAACTCTGACAGGTGAGTATTTTTAACAGACTCTTTTTTACGGTTTGGGAGGTTCAGAGAGGTTCAATAACTTGGCCAAAATCACGCGGCTTATAACTAAACAGGACTGAACTCAACTGCGAGTCGGGCGCTGCGGCCTACCTCACCGGGCTGCCTTTCCGCACACACTCTTGGCGTACGAAGCCACACGCTCCCACACAGCTTTCACACAGCTTTCAAACAGGGCCCTGCTGATTCTGTTCGGAGTACCCACAGTTTCTATCGCTTTCCAAGCCTCTTCTCCATCAAAATTCAGGCTTCGGAAAACCTTCCCGGCTACCCTGCCTTCTATGTTAAGACTACTCCAGTGTGCTGTGGTTGCTTCTCTTAGCAGCGTGTACTTAACGCAATACCGGACACATACTAGGTGCTCAGTAAATGTACAGGCAACCTCAGGTCATTTTTTTCATCCATTCACAGGAATATCTTTGAGGAGCCTTATTTATCCTTTGCCAGGCACTGTGCTAAGAGCTTTTGATGCATTGTCTTTTGTTATCCTTCCAACAACCCTATGAGGAGGTGCTTTTATCATCCATGAATTGAAGTTAAGGAAACCGAGTCACGGAAGGAGTCACAACAACTGGGAGCCTAACCAGAGGCAAGAGCTTGCGCCTCAGCAAAACACTTGCATTACCCAAGAACCTGACTTGGCTTTCTCTGAACTACAGAGGAAGCTGGCAGGTCACTGGCCGGACTCCTTCATTCACTAAATATTTAGTACCTACAGCATGGCACTAAAATACAAAAATAAATGTCACAAAATATCTGCCCTCAAGGAGGTCTTCAGTCCAGTGGGAACAGACATGTTTAAACTAATAATGATAATGTAGTGAGATAAATATGTTAATGGAGCTTTGTCTAATGGAGGTTGCAGTAGTATGCCTAGAAGATCATTAGATTAATGTTGCCTGTTGGAGTGAGATTGGAAGCTGTGGAGAAGGATCCAGAAAGGCTTCCTAGGGGAGATGATGCTTACACTTTTTTGAGGAATAATAAGAGTTCTTTAGGCAAAAAGACTGGAAGAGAAAGGAAGCGGATCCAGATGCAGGGAACTGTGTACAAACGTTTGGTAGGGGGCCTCCAGAGAATCATGTACGGCTTGAGCAACAGAGTTCAGATAGAAGATATTCAGGGGATGACAACAAAAAAAGAGAGGGGGGCACTTGAATACTTTGCGAAGGGCCTTTTGAGAGAGTACTCTACCCTTCTCATTGGGATAATGTAAGTGAATGGACATGGAACACTACTATACAGCTCAGTAGAAATACAGGATGATGTGACTACTAGCCCCACAACTTCTGTGTTCTCACTGAGTTAAAACGTAACAGTAATGGCCTCAGAAGGCAGAGTCAGCCCACAAAGACTTGCCCCTGTTTCAAGTCTTCAGGTATATCTACTAATCCAATGGCTGTCTTGCTGTTGACAGATGTAGGAACCATCATAGCTCAAGGATCATAATTTGAGATCAGTGCAGAACTCCCACAACCAGAAAAGTTGCACCAAATTTTGTTTGTTGTTTTTTTTGTTTGGTTGGGGGTTTTTTTGGTAATAATTACAGACCCACTGGAAGTTGCAAAAATAGTACATAGAGACCTATGCACCTTTACCCATTTTTCCCCAATGGTAACATTTTATATAACTATAGTGCAATATCAAAATCAGGAAATTTGTATTGGTACAATGCACAAAGGTTTTTTGAAAGCATCACAGGGGTCTCACAAAACTGAGTGAAAGCTTTCCAGACCCTGCATAGTATATATATCCTCCTTAGATATTTTATTATATAAGTAATTGCTCATGGTTCAAAAAATAATTCATGTAACTGGGCAAATAACAGCATATAGAAAAAATCAAAATGGCTTTTTACACTATAAAAAGATGCTGTCACATTTATAATTTAAAATATATGCTAATTAAACTGTGTTTGCTCCTCAGATCAGAAAGTCTGATAGTACATTGTGTTGAGCTATGATTGGGTAACAGGTACTGGAAAATGTTGGAGCAGGAAGTAAATCAGTCCAATCTTGTTGGAGAGCAATTCAAAAAGGCCCAGCATTTTCTACTTCTGGGAATTTATTATAATACACACGTCTGTGCAGAATGACATTTATAAGGATATTCATTGCAGTGATGTTTATTGTAGTGAAAAGACAAATAGTCCAAATTCTATCTATAGGAGACTGGCTCAAAAAAGCCACAGAAAGTATTGTGCAGCTATAAAAGTAGAGGAAGCTGTTTATGGACTGATGTGTAACAAAAATCAAGATATGTTCTTTAAAAAGTGAGGCTCAGAACACTAATGTAGTGTTCACTACCATTTGTGTTTAAAACAAGATGGGACAGAGGGAATACATATACATACATGTCCTCACATGTGCATAAAATATCTCTAGAAAGATAAACAAGGGATGTTAAGATGGTTGTCATTGAGGAGAACTCAGGAAGACTAGCTTTAAAACATCTTTCTTTAAAATTATGAACTAGTTATATTTATTTACCTTGCATCTTTTTTTT